AAGCCCGAAAAATTAAAAAAAAGTTTTCAAACTGTTTTGTCAAACAGTCTATCGGACCAAGAGTAAACTTATACTATCTTTCTTGTTCTAACCGAGATCTTTTTGTTCTGAGTTGTTCTAGGCTTAAGAATTATAGTTCTAGAGTATGAGACTTATAAGATCATTCGTTCTCTGAAAATTCGAAAAAAAATCGATTTGACAGTACTCGACGTCAAGAGTAAACACATGCTTCCTTTCTTGTTCCAACCGAGATCTTTTTGTCCTAAGTTGTGCTAGGCTTAAGAATTATAGTTTTAGAGTATGAGACTCGTAGCGTCATCCGTTCTCCAAAAATTCGAAAAAAAATCGATCATGTAAAAAATCTGAAAAAATTCTGGAACACTCTAGAGAGATATTTTATGTTCCAATAGTTACTTTAGTCATTTATTAACAATTTTTTGCAATAACAATTTAAATTTGCCGAAATCGACAAAAAATGTAATTTCGTAAAAAAAATTCATAACTTAACAACATATTAAAATTAACAAAAATATTTTCAGGTTTCTTTAGATGAAACTATTTTCTTAAAAAAAAAAGTTCTATATATTGATTTAAAAAACTATAATTATTTGGATGATTGAAAATAAGGATGATTGAAATATATTTCTGAGGTGACAAAAATTCAAGAAAAAGATGATTTCTTATAAAAATTAATCTTTATTATAGGAAAATTGGCGGAAATAATTACAAAATGTCATGACAAAATAAAGTGAAATTGCTTCGTTGTTTAAGCCTAGTATAACTCAGAACAAAAAGATTTCAGTTGGAACAAGAAAGGAAGCATGTGTTTTCCCTTGACGTCGGGTGCTGTCAAATCGATTTTTTTTCGAATTTTCGGAGAACGAATGATCTTATAAGTCTCATACTCTAGAACTATAATTCTTAAGCCTAGAACAACTCAGAACAAAAAGATCTCGGTTGGAACAAGAAAGATAGTATAAGTTTATTCTTGGTCCGAACTGTTTGTCAAAAAACTTTTTTTTAATTTTTCGGGCTTATAATTAAACTTATTGATTTGTGCTTTTGGAACAATGTTTGGAACAACTAGAACAATCTACTGCGATATCAGAATGTTCGATTTTCGAAAAGTGGGGTGCCAGCTCAAAAAATAATTTCTTTTGTTTTATTCGAAAATTGTTTCGAATGAAGCAATGTCACTTTGGAACAATGTGATACAAAGTCAGAACAATCTGGAACAATTTTCAAAATTATAAATTTCAAAAAGTGGGGTGCCAACTTCATACACTCTCCATTTATTGGATACGAAATTTCGCGAATTTCGCCGAGGAAAGATTGCAAACTTTAATTGCGTCACCGTACGAATTTAGGACATTATCGCGAAGCTATGACCGACTGCTATTTTGACACAACGTTGCGCATATTTCTGATTAATTAGTAAACAGTAGATCAATAATGCATACCGTTGGAAATCCAATAACCCGATTAAATTACGTAGAAGTATTATGTTTGTTTAGTGAAACAGCAAATTCTGGACGGAGAAAAGTAATTTTGCTCTTTCAGCAAAATCGTCGTTGCTACTGCATATTCGTAATGCATAAAAAAAATTTAGTTGACGTAATTAATTTTAGAAGTTATTCGTTATCAGAGCAGAAGTAATTTCGTTGCCAGGACAGAAAAGATTTGTTGAGTGTATTTGTCTTAAGAATTACGTTAATTTGCTATTGATGCAAAATAATGTATCCTTAGCAAATTTATTTGCTATCGGAGCAAAATTGCAACTTATATAAATATACGCAAAATTGCAACTTGTATAAATATATGCTTATATAAATCCATCATGGTTCTTACAGCAAAATAATTTGAAAATTCAGCAAATTATATCTAGTAAATAGTGATTAATACTCTTAGTATTAATCTCTTGTTGCTGTCCATATAATAAAGAAAAGATTTTGCTAGACCAGCAGAAAATTTGCTGAGCCAGTAAATTATTTTTCTCCGTGTATCGGCGAAGTGAAACCAGCTTGTAACAACTGCTGAAAAGACGCGAGAAAAGAGGAGTCTTTACGTCAGATGAAGAGAATTCCCTTATTCAAAAAGGCAAAGTGCGTTTCGTGCAACTAATAGATACTTTCAATCTCTGTGACGGAAGATGGTCTTCGATTGAACTCTCAAATTAGATATTCCGCTGGGATATCCAATTTTCCGTTTCGTTCCGCTGCACGTGATCGTTCCGTCGTCACGTACGCTCGATTCTGAATCGATTGTCCAAGCGAAGAAGACGAAGAAAAGTGTTTCGTCTCGGTGATATGGAATTTCGGGCGTTTCACGGTCAGGAGACTCGGAGAAAATTAAAACGATCCGTTGCTGCGGGTTATCAAGGGAGCGAACGGCCGACCCGAGACGGCGCTTATTTATCGATATCCTGCGGGAAGCCTGAGGGCAATTTACGGGCAAATTGCTTGGGGAACGCGGTCGGAACCGTTCCCTGTCGCTCTCCCCGCGGTGAGCACGCCTACGCGGCGCGACGCGCAAACGGAAATAAAAGAGTCTCCGGTTCTGGAACGAAGTTTTCCGGAGAGCAGGTGTGTATGTGTGTGTGTGTATGTGTGGGGGTGTGCGTTATCGCGATAGATATCCCGCAGGTGGAAGGAGGGACGGGAGAAGTTGGTTACGTAACAGCAGCGACCCTCGCGATCGCGAGCGAGGGAATGATTTCTCCATTTCTCGGTCATCCATGACAGGAAGTCAGAGGAGATTCGATTTTCATCGAGCGGAATTCAGCCGGGTTATTTCGACAGAGTTCTGTTCAGCGTACGCTGAACGAGCATGTCGTGTATCACACACGAAGGGAGAGGACGAGGCGGAGATAGAGCTGTACGCTTGAGATAACGTTTGCTATCTCGAAAGCTCACTCGACGTGATGACTGTTATCTGGACCGGGTTTTCTTTGATTGCATGTGATTTAATGGGAGATATTAGATGTCAGATAGCCATCGAAACCTCTCGCATCGATCACTCTCCCGGAATGAGTTGTGTGGAAAGTTCGGAGCTTCAAGTTTCCACGCGATTTTGTTACGTATCGCGCTGTAAACCGTGTGCTAGTTACGCATGAGAGGATTATCTGCATTATTTTGTTGCGCGCGCCACGTAAAAATGCAGAGGTCTCAGAGGTCTCGACTGCTTTGGACTAAATGAATCTGTGAACTTAGATGCGCTGGTATCCGCTTGATTGACAGAAGGAAAAGCCAGGCCGATAAGGCGATTGTACTAACCAAGTAGTAAACTGACAAACTGATTTACATGTGTATCAATAAAATATATAACATATGTACAATTAAAGTATGTATCTATCTTGGTCAATATTGAAGAAAAAGCAGAGGCATGTCAGAAATGAAAAGAATGTAAGAAATGTAAGAGATGAAAAGAGCATGAGATATCAGATCAAGGAAAGCTGAAAGGAAATCCAAAGAAGCCCCAAACAAGATAAATATATCTTGTATGCGCGATACCATATCGAGGGAAAAATGTTCAGTATTTGTAATTGCAACTGCGTAGTGAAGTAATTATAGCGGGGAAAGTAATTTTTACTATAAATATTATTTATAATAAAGTTAATCAGAAAAAGATATTTCTAAATCTATAAGAGGAGTATCTCACCGCGAAATTAGTGAATATTTATTGACTTACGGTGAATACCCTCACATCTTACTGTTCCGTCTTATATCTCACTGATTTCGATAAGTGGTGGGTGAGATTTCACTGCAAAAATCTGTAGTGCGCTAATTTGTCATGCATCGTATGACAAAATGGCCAAGTGCAACTTTTACATCTGTGACGATGGATTTTCCATTGAATGAGAATTCAATCGAAGACCATCCTCCGTCACAGGGATTGAAAGTACCTATTAGTTAGCACGAAACGCACTTTGCCTTTTTGAACAAGCAAACTTTCTTCATCTGACGTAAGGACTCCTCTTTTCTCGCGTATCAGCAGTTGTCACAAGCTGGTTTCTCTTCGCCGATACACGGAGAAAAATAATTTACTGGCCCAGCAAATTTTCTGCTGGTCTAGCAAAATCTTTTCGTTATTATATGGACAGCAAAAAGATTTGCTAAGAGTACTAATCACTATTTGCTAGATATAATTTGGTGCATCCACAAATTATTTTGCTGTAAGAACCATGATGAATTTATATAAACATATATTTATATAAGTTACAATTTTGCGTATATTTGCGACGATGGAATCAACGGTCATCATGCGATCTGCATGCAATGACACTATCTGTATTTGCAAACAATAACAGGATGCATCAATAACAGAAACAGCCGCTACCATCAGCTAATTTCCTCAGTGAGCTTTTACCGCGACTGCAATGCTACACTTATAACCGAATCATCAGTTATAAACACAGCATGTTTCAGTGAAAACAATTGATCGTACTTTAGAGAATACACTGTCAATGGCAAGCAATACTGCGGCGACTACTTTCTTACCAGAAGGAACAGAAAAAAAGAGAACACCGAAAGAATACGGCTGGCGCCGGAAACCATTGCAGTGTTTGCAGTAATGCCCAATTTTTTCATCTCCGATTAACTTTATCTTTCAGATAAATGTCAACCGTGATTGGTTAATCTTGCCAACCATAAATATGATTGGTCGAAGATTGGAATTCCAATAGAATAACTGGTAGACAAAGTTAACCGGAGGGGAAGAAATTGGGCATAAGACTGACCATTTTCTTCTCTCAGCGCGTCGCGACTGCATCGTCGACCATAGTAGCAGATCCCTGCTGCTGCTGTACGTGCCGCATCTTCGGCTTCTCTTACCTACCGCGACCACTACGACTGACCATTACGAGAGTATCCGCTCGCACATACGACCCACGTGTTGCCGTGGATCGGATCGTACTACGTGTACATGTACTACGTGTAATCAGCGCCGGCGGTGGCGACAGTGTGGTGGTAGAGACGGCAAGCTCGGTGCGTGCCTTGGGCAGACGTATAAAAGTTGCCTTCGTGATCGCCGGCAACTATTCCGATCGGCGACGGCTGCTCGCGACCGGACTTGCCTCATTTCATTGGCGAATCGGCCGAGTTATCGGCGTTGTCACCGACACAGCTCGTCGCGACTCGATCGGCGCCGATTGATCTCTTCGCGAGCTCCTCTCCGCCGAAAACTTACACAGTGAACACCGCGTGGGATTTCAGGGATCCTCGGGTTTCCGTTGCAGTTTTCGCGTTTTTTCACAAAGATGCACACCTGTCAGAGCAAAGTACCCGAAAACGAGGAGTTCATTCAGTCACAAAAAGAGGAGAACGGCAATGTGGAACGCAAGTTGACCAGGTAGTACGACAATTCTATTAGACTCGAGTGCGGGGGTCGAAATTCGATAAGAGTCACATACACGGAGAAAAATAATTTGCTGGTCTAGCAAAATCTTTTCGTTACTATATGGACAGCAAGGAGATTTGCTAAGAGTACTAATCACTATTTGCTGAATATAATTTGCTGAACCTAATCAAATTATTTTGCTGTAAGATGGATTTATATAAGCAGTTGTAGTCTTGCTCCGATAGCAAATAAATTTGCTAATGATACATTATTTTGCATCAATAGCAAATTAACGTGATTCTGAGGACAAATACACTCAACAAATTTTTTCTATCCTGGCAACGAAACTATTTTTGCTCTGATAACGAATAATTTGTAAAATTAGTTACGTCAACTAAATTTTTTTTCTGTCACTACGAATATGTAGTAGTAACGACGATTTTGCTAAAAGAGCAAAATTATTTTTCTCCGTGCAGATATAGTTGCGCGTCTGCACGGGAAAAGAAGAAGTTTGTTGGATTCACTAACTGGCGAAATAAATGAACGATTCAGGAGGTGTTATGAAATTATTAAAATTGCGTTTAACCCGATCAGAAACTTCGGTAATTTTGACTGAATTCCGCAGAACTTCACAGGCGAAATTTCTGAATCGTTCACCAGAAATTCTTTGTTTACTAACTAAACTTTCCGTCTTTTTTGTACAATTAAATTAATTTTAGACATCGAACGCGTCTGTAGGAATAAGAGAAATACATGTCGGCAAGTTCTGAAAGATGAGCAAAGTGTGAGCGAGATAAGAGATTGTAATGCTCAACGACTCGTGTCGGATCTCGAGGCAAACACTCGAAATGCACCGCGACTCGCCGAGACGGAAGTGCTGGTGTTGGCGAGTTGTGAAATTAGAATCATAATCGAGCCGAGCGATAAACAATAGTAATTTCGATCGCGGTTCGGCCATGAACGTTGCCATTGCAAGAGAGAGAGAAAGAGAGAGAGGGAGGGACTGTCCTCTACATGTTTCTACGAGACGAAAAAAATCAGGAAACATGGCAAATTGCGATAAACACGTAGGAAAGGGAGGAAGGGCGGGAGAAAGGGAGCGCGAAGAACGTTAGACGTTAATAAAGAGAGCCGTAACAAAGACGCGATATAGTCATAAACGAAGGAGATATAGCGAATGTAAATACGCGGTAGACCAGCACAAAACCTCGTACGAATCCTCGTCACCACGCGCGAGATATCTGCGCTCGAGAATTTGCCGAAGTCTCTCCATTCGAGTTGTCTACCTTTTGTACCTGCGCTATCTTCGCCGCTACGGGCTTCCCATTATTCTCCCTTCACGGTCCACGCGAACGCAATAGAAACCATGCTCGCACGAGTGACGCAAGGAACACAAAGATATACCTGCATTAGGTATCACGTTGGTTAGTGAGCAAAATCTCCTTGACATTTTTTATTTTCGCGCACGCCACAGAGGTCACTCAGAATTTCAACCAGATGTTGCGCGACTTCGCTGGGAAAGGCGAAACTTTAGAATTTAATTTGAATTAATATTCGGTTATTTTAATAAAAATATATGTCGAGAAATAAAAGTCATTAAAGACGTGTCCGTTAATGCAAATCGTCGCGATCCAGTTTCTCCGAATAAATTTGCACACCACTTTGCTGCATCCAATCGATTGTACACACTTGTTGGTCGAAGTGAACATTTTTCAGAAAGCACTCGTTTGCCATTGATAACAAAGCGCGAGTTTAGTTGAGATGTTATCGATCGATAATTGAAATATAATAATTGAAAGAAATAAAAGCGATTGTAGATCAGTAGAGAAAATAACATTGTCAGGCACATCTATTTCCCCTCCTCGATTTCACCGTTGAATAACAGATAAAGAAGATCGTTTGTAAACGCGTCGCGGATCAATGTAATCTGTCGGACGATAGAGATGAGATTGCACTCAGATACCTGATAAGGCCATCACCATTCAATCGACATGTCGCGATGATTCGACGAGAAATTGGAAGCACGGTTACTCGATGGTACTTTTGACGATTCTGATTTATTCTGTGAACTGTCAGACGTGTGAAAAGTAAGGGACTAGGTAAGAGTTGCAGAATTCCCACTTGAGGTAAGGAATGTGAAGTTCTGCACTAACTTGCGGCACAAAAGGTGCTGCAGAAACTCTCTCGTTGACAAAGTGGAGTTTAAGACTTGAATTTATGAGATATAATAAAGAGCCTCTCTATTATTATTATTACTCTTCAACCGCCGTCTCGTGTCTCCCGAAAATATGATACGACTATTCGACGACACCGATAGCAACGTGTTTCACTCGACTGCTTATGCTCGCGAATCTCCCGACGGCCAAAACTGATTAGGTTTACGATTGCATTAACCAAGTCAATTTTCGACGTTGATGCAATTACGGCGGCGTGCCCGTTCCTTCGCTCGCCGGCAATTCAATTCGCGACGTCGCGATATCAAAGGTGATTTAATTGCTACTCGATCGTCTCACCTTTCTCGCGATGAAACGCGATAATCTGTGAGACGAAATACACGTGAATTTCGAAGCTGCCAAAGACTTTGAGAATTTATTTCAATATTGTTCTAAGGTAAAAATACTAATATTGACACTGATAACATTGGCACTCAATTCCAGACATTTTCATTGTTTTTATTTTGAAATACGAATAGAAGGACTTTCAATATAGAATATACATACATATATTGAATATATATAAAAACAGAGTATATTCAATAAATACATAAATAAATAAATATATATATATATGTATATATATATATTTATTTATTTATTTATTATTTATATATATATATATAAATAATAAATAAATAAATATATATATATATGTACATATATATATATATATTTATTTATGTATTTATTGAATATACTCTGTTTTTATATATATTCAATATATGTATGTATGTATGTATGTATGTATGTATATATATATATATATATATATATATATATAAATAATTTAT